AGTTAGATTCATGGGGCCCTAATGTAACTTGACACGCTCCCTTTTGTAACATTTGATCCCTTTTGTAACTCATTACAGTTACAAAAGGGATCGCGATCCCTAATGTAACTTCAAGAGTTCCCTAATGTAACCTGATGTTCCCCAATGTAACCTGACACGTTCCCTAATGTAACGGGAGGTTCCCTTTTGTAACTCAAGGCGTTCCCTTATGTAACTCCACATTCGCCTTCAATTTTCTGTCATTTCTTTTTATTTATTTCATATAATAAAGGTGATATGGTAAATCGAGATGCTTTTTGAAGAGTATTACCATGGCTGTTCACCTTCTGAGAAAGTTTTTGGGGGGTAAAAATCGATTATAAGAAGTGTACTAAAACCAGTTACTTCGATAGTTCCCTTATGTAACTTCATATTTGGCTTCAATTTTTTGTCATTCCTCTTTATTCTTTTTAAATAAATAGTGCAATATGGTGGATCAGAATGCTTAGAGAACACCATTATCGTACTGTTTTCTTTTTAGGAAATGTTTTTCCGGGATTAAAATCGATTTAAAAAATATTACAACCACTCGCTGTAATAGTTGCCTAATGTAACCTTTTACTAAGTCTTGTGTTGTTATGATGTTCTTTGAAACTGATAACAAATATCTTACACTAATTGCCCATGCACAGAGTTATACTTATTATAGTTATGGCCTTTATGTTATCATCAAGATTTCAATGGCGTTTAAGTTGCTGACACACGGTGCAACATTGCACGCAGCATTGCAAGCAAAAAATTTGAATCGGAGTGACATTGCAACAAAATCATGCAACGTCGCTTGTGTCAGCCTCCTATGCTACGGATATTTGGTCAGCAGTTATAAATTTGGTGCAAGCTGGTTGGCTGGAAATTTCAAAATGTTGCAGGTAATGTTGCAACAGCAGAGCGCGATTCAACTTCAGAATTGTTGCATGCAACATTGCGAACAAACAACATGGGGTAGACACGCTGCAGCAGTGCTGTTGCGTGCAATGTTGCATGCAATGTTGCACCGTGTGTCAGCACCTGTCAGTGACTGCCTTGAGTTTGTAAAGTAAGGTTATTTAGTCAAATGTTTTAAAATTCAAAAATCACGACTATGTAGCTCATCCTCCGTTTTCTTTCATATAAAAGCGATAAGCCTCTTACTTAATTGCGCAAATGCACTGATGAAACGATTTAAACGAATGCAATRATAAAAATGATGAACTAATGTTATTATTAGAAGTAGCTGTAATTTTTACAGATTAAAGATAACAAACATATGAAAGCAAAAACGTGCGAATAATGTATCTAAATGCTGACGGATAAAACAAGGGAGAAACGCCGTATTCTGCAAAACAAAACACTATTTTACACTCTTACCAACTATCTAACAAGTTGGTGATGCGCATATTGGAATTGTACATCAAAAAGTCTTACAAAAAAGTCTTGTAGAAGAAGCTATAACTTCGGTGTTTTTCGCCGATGTTCCCCTTTGTAACATTTTAATGTTGGAGATTAAAAATTCAAAACAAGCAAATTAGCGAAAGCGACTCAATTGTGCATTAGGATTCACCGAATTGATTCTATTCATGGCAAGAGATTAAGTTTCGCGAACAAAATGGAACCTGGAGAAAACTTTATTCCAACTTAACCCTAACTTTCCCATTTGTAACTTGAGCGGCATTTTACAGGGGTACATATRAAAAATCATAACTTCCTAGAATTATGTTATTTYATCCTCCATTTTTGGTGTAGTGTGCGGAAGAAACCTCTTAATAACTGGTATAAAATCCATTCCTATCCGCAATGTTTGTAAGAAGTTATCATTATCCGCTTGGAATGGTTAGATTTGCTCAAAACAGCTTGTTTTCGGTTACGCAAATTTTGACAATTTTGGCCAAGAAAATCCTTCTAACTCAAAATCTACTRAATATTTGTGCATGGAATTTTGAGAACATCTAGTACATTTATCTAGAATGTATGTGCTTGAATTTGGTGGCACTACATTAAAACGGTGGAAAGATATTGCAGTTTTTCATGAAGATGCACGTTTTTTGATCATTTTGAAATTTCTTCAAATCCTAGGACCTAGTGAAGTTTATACGAACTTACTTGAAATTTTCGTGCCGATTTCCTAATGAAACTTAAATACTGAGTGGATGTTTGGGGGCATCAGTAGACAGTGTTAAGCATGATCTAACCTGAATTCCTATCATATTGGGTTTTTGATCGATTAAGAAACCGCAGAATCCACGACCATGTTCCCTAATGTAACATAGCTAGCTTTGTGAAGTTCGTAAAATTTGAAAACGAAAGCAATGAAAGAGTGACTCCTAGGGAGGAGAAACAGCATCAATATCTGTCAATCCACTCTATTTGCATTGAAATAGCACGTTTTTAAGAGTACGAAAAATGCTATCTATTATTAGGTTACACTAGGGCCATCCATGAATCTAAAGATAGATAGATAGATAAGACACCTATAATAGGTAGATAGATAGATAAGACACCTATAATAGGTAGATAGATAGATAAGACACCTATAATAGGTAGAT